AGCTAAATGGCATTTTTAAATATTCATTTGAAATTGGCCCTTAGACTATAAAATCCTTATATTTGACGACAAAGCTTAGCCTTAGAGAGCCTTGAATTACTGACTTGCTTACTTTTTATTTCTATAACCAAATAACCAAGCTCAGGGAGAAACAAACAGTAACTCCAGGCATTTTTCGTTTTATTAAGATCCGTTAAATAAGTTGCTTAATTTTAAACGGTTTTGTTAAACTTTTTGAAAGATTTTGTTAAACTTTATTTTTCGGGCGCGGCAACACTGGGTGCAAATAGCGATTACGAGGCTGAAAAATAGCAAAGCGGCTGGAGCTAACGGCCTGCCAGCCGAGCTATTCAAGTACGGCGCCGAAGAGCTGATAAGCTGCATGCATAAGCTCTGATGCAGAATATGGTCAGATGAACGCATGCCCCACGATTGGAATTCAAGTGTGCTCTGCCCAATCCACAACAAAGACGATCCCGCCATTCGCGCCAACTACTGCGGAATAAGCCTTCTAAGCATATGTTATAAGGTCTTATCGAGCGTATTGTGTGAAAGACTGAAGCCCACCGTCACCGAACTGATTGGACTTTATCAGTGTGGCTTTAAACCTGGCAAATCCACTATAGATCAGGTATTCACAATACGCCAAATCTTACACATAAAAAAATCACAAAATTTGCATCTTTACACATTCATGTTTCTGGCATGCGGAGGACGATATGTACTTGAAGATTTGTTTTACAAAAATTATTTAAAAAGCAGACGTCTCGGTTGCTCAGCAAACCGGTTAATCGTTTCTGCAAATACATATTTGACATTGATTCTACAAAACAAATTTTCGATGTATTCTTAAAATGTATAAACCTAAAGGTAAATTTTATAGGAAATCAAACGAACAATTTATTTATTTATTATACGGGTGAGTTCTTAAAAGACATTACTCTACTCTAAGCTTCGTGCAGTGGGCCAATGAGAAAACCGTCATCTTTAAGGTATAGTCCAACTGAAACCGAGATTTTTCTACTTTTCGCATCGAAAGAGCTAAAAAAATATATGGCACTGCCCCAGAGAAACGACTGGCGTGATATATTGGACCTGGCCAAAATCGCTTAGGCGGTTACAGCGCCAATAAAGAAAAAGCAAATATATGCATGGAGTCAGTACGTCGGTAGCACCAGCAGGTACACCTTAGTAGTTATAAAGTGGGCGGTGCTACGCCCAATTTCTAAAAGTCTGTAGCAGTTATTTATTGTTAGGAGATTGTTGTAACTATTAACTTGGAGTAAATTAGCGTCCTCAGTTATTGTAAATCGGAGTTTTCGTATTTCTAAAAAATTACCGTTATGCGGGAAGCGGGTGTAATTTTAGTACGATTTGAATAATTTTCAACAAGTTCCGTTTCCGTACCAAGGTTATTTTAAGTGCACCGAGTTTGGTAGAAATTGATAAATCGGTTACCGAGATACACATTTGTGATCATAAGTGGGCACCGCACAACGCCCATTATCCAAAAATTTATAATATTCTAATTTTTTTTTAAAGTGGTTATTGCAATCATCGATTTTAAGTGAATTAGCTTCAGTAGTTAAAGATTTGTCGCAATTTTCGAGTTTCTGTAAATTACGGTTATATGGCAGGTGGGCGTGGTTGTTGCCCGATTTCGAAGATTTGCACACTCGGCCCTTACGACCGTTTCTCAATTGCACACACACACAAAATTTGCAACTATCTTAGTCAAAATTGCGTTGTACCCCAAAGGATATTCGGTACTTTGCTCGTTTAAAATAAAACTTCAATTCATCATTTCTTTTCATACTATTTAGCGTTAAATAATTTTTCTTTATTTCATTTGGAGCATTCATACAAATCAATTTTAGTTAAACATAACTTATAAACCAGTACACATTATATGCCTTTGGGCTACGTGTATAATACATATATTTATATATCTGCATTAAATTCAAAATGCAGCTCTTTATGTGGCTTAGTATGATTTGAATTTTGCTTACATGATGCTAGTCTAATATGTTTTTCTAATATATATTTATTTTATGTATATGCAAATACATTTCAACGCTTTCAGTTCATCAACTCATATACATATATAACTTGTACATATATTTTAGCATCATTTTACATAACAATGTCATACTTATGTTATGAGTATTAACTTCGCAGCGATTTGTAGGCGGGTCAAATGGGGTAGAGCAATTTCATGTTGAAGCCACGAAGCTAACACATACACATATGTATATACATATGTTAGTCTGTATATACTTTTACGATTTTTTAGCATTATTATATATTTTTCTCATAAACAGAGTACAGAGGTCCGCCTATCGTGTTTACGATCGTGCTACTTTGGAATTTGATTATAGCATGTATATATGTATGCATCTATGTATGTATGTATGCTGATATATTATACATATTTATATTTATAGGTATATACAAATTTTGAATTTTGTTTTTAACAGTTCTAACTTGAATCGCTTTGCATGATATGTATGTTTATTTGTTTAATTTTAATTTTGTAACAACTAATCTATACATATATGTTCATATATTTTTTATATGGTTTTCCAAAAACAAAACAACAGCGGTCATGTAAAGTATGTATGTATGTATGTATGTATGTCTTAGGCTTAATTCAAACACTAAACTGAATATTTTTACTTTATTATATTTTTCAATTTTTTTATGTCTTTTATCATACACTTAATTCTAATGCGAATATGTACATATACATATCTGATATATTTATAGCAATTCTAATTTATGTATTAGGGTGGTACAAAAAAAAAAGTAAAGTCGGAATTTGAATGCTACCACCCACTAGGATTTTTGTACACTGAAAACAATATACCCCTGTTTTTTAGAGGTTGCGCAAATCGTTGAAAGTTTTACATGCTTTTTATATTTCTACAAAATTTTTTACAGAATTCTTGAAAATCAATATTTTTCGATCGCAAAACTTTTTCTCTTCAGCAGACTTCAAATAATAATTTCCAATTATTTATTTAAAATATTTTTTAATACTAGCAATTTTTATGAGTCACCCATTACACTATTTTGGGGGGGGGGGGGTTTGGACCACCCTAATGTGCATATATTTATTATATATTCTAATCCTTCACTTATCTGCTAAATACTTGCATTGCATTTCTACGAATTATGTGCATACAGTCTTTCATATCATACAAGCAGCGCTTTTCATTGCTTCATTTATTTTAAAATTTTAGCTTTTACCTGGCTTTTGTATATCTTACTTTTTATACTTAACAGCTATGAGTAGATATATATGTACATGCCTTATTATATGTATGTAAGTAAGTATATACATACATGTCTAGTACAAACATTATCAAAAACATCGTTCAATAAAATTATAAATGAATTGAGATCCTACTCCAGTTCTTGACAACTAAACTCATTTTAAATATTAATATCGAGCCCTAACCGCCAAAATAACGTAAGCGACAGTTTTTTCAAAATTTTCTTTCTGATGCAGAAATATTCCTAGAGCATCTAGATGCATTTCTGCATCAAAAACAAAATTTTGAAAAAAATGTCGCTTACGTTATTTTGGCGCTTAAGGCTCGATATCATGTTAAAAAGAAGAAAGTAGTTTCAATAAGCAACTTTTGACGGATACAAATTTTTATTTTTTTGAAGTTTTATAAAATGTGAGTATTCTTAACGGCCTTGCCACTTTGATAATATTAAAACAATAAATCGCAGTATTTTCTTTCCCATATTTATACCAATTTAAATAAATTTCAAATCAAAAACAATTATCAGTGCTTGGTGTTTTTTTTTTTACTTACGTGTTTCGCACGAAACTATTAAGATTATTATAAAAATCACGAGCGCACATAAGTTTTTTTGGTTGATATTTTTATATTTTCTTATTTTGAATGGAATCTTGCGATTTAAAAATCTAATTCAAAAGAATCTCCTTTTCAAATAAAACCTTGTTAAAATAATTTGGCCCAAATTTACTTTTTAATTTCTTATAAAATTTTTCAAAAGAAAAAGGCTTAGTGGCTAGCGTATCAGCACGAACTTCAACAAATTTTGAATTTAATGTATGTATGCAAAAAATTTGAGCTTGGCTTGTGCAGACCGCCCACTTCCTTCATGCGTTCTAAAACCTAGTTTCATTAACCCCATTTTGGAAATTATGTATTAATTTTCAGGTACATCATAATCCGCATCTTTGAGTGGACTGATGAAATCTTCTGCTTTAAAAAAAAATATCACTTCTAGTGATCGGATAGCATGAATCTGATGAAATGTCATAATTTTATTAAAAGTCAAATGGTTAACAATAACAACGAATGTCGATCATTCAATGGAACTACCTTCTTTCTTGTATCATGATTAATATCGTAAACGCACTTCAAAAAGAGGCTACAAAAAATAGTTGTATATTATACAGAACTACAAATCAAATAAATATACATTTATAAAATACACACAGTGCCTCCAAAGAATAATCGGACAAGCTTTAAATCGCAAGCAGTCAAAACTATGGGTCAAATATAGTAAAACTGCACTTTCTTGGTATTTCCTTCTGAAATGATTCCTTAAAAATATTATTTAAAAAAGTTTGAATAACAATATGAGCACCAAATAAAAGCAAAAAGCTATTGAAAATATCTTTCAATTAATTTTTTTTATCCGAAACTAATAAAGTCAGAGGATGGAATTCTAGAGTCTCGTTGTGTTTGTACTAGCTCTAAACGTATATTTTTTCAAGCATAAAATTGGGAAAAATTTCAAGGAGGAGAAGCTTGGCCAAACACTAACATATGTGTAAGCGCCAATCTATTATTATTATTTATTCGTCTTTGGGCCCCCAAAAAGGTTGATCTCTTCCAATTCTATAGAATTTTTTTCCATTTTTTTTACATTGCACTAAATTTTTTAAACGAGTTTTTGAAGTAACATAATTTTGAAATTTCAAAGTCTGCTTAAAAAAATCCTGACGTCAAAGAGAAAAAGTACAAGCACAGTTTTACTATATTTGGCACATACATCGTTTAGCGAAATTTGAATTATTAGGTCTGTTTTTTTGCCCAAGGCTGCCCGAAAGTGCCCATTAGGAGTTTTTTGTTGGCTCTCGGTCTGTTGAGAGCTAAATACTTTGCGAAAATAATTTTTGTTTCGCACTAGCCCGAGATTGCCCTTACTAATGTTGCGGACGAGTTTGTGAAAACTGTCAAATTTCCAGAGGAAGAGCATGCATTTTACTGTTTTATATATTATATTATATGTATAGCTATATTGCCGTATTATCCTTAACCTACTTACTCATACACATTTTATGTTCACCAAAAATTATAATTTATCTAATTGGTTTATAATATGTAGGCCTGTTTTATAACTTTGATTTAGCTGATTTTCTGTTTTAATATATGTTATTTTTCGTTTTTAATTCATTAAATTTCCCTTGTTGCATTCATGTTTTACGAATATATTTGCTTAATGAGTACTCAAGTATGTATGTACGTCACAATTTACTTCAACATGCACTATATGACTTAACAAGAAAAATTTACGCACAGATACAACTAACTTTACATACTTCTAAAAATCCATATACACTTCATACCAGCTAACCGTATATCCTGTTAGTCTTAACAGCTACTCGTACACCGCAACCACAATGTCATCAGTGCATCAACCGCTCAGCAGCCAGCAACTGTCAGACGTCTATCAGCAACTCGACTTTTCTAAACAGTAACAATATTGTGAACAGCAGCGTCACTGTTGTCTGTGTCAATTTATTTTGTTGACAATGTATTGCAGCAGCTGCAGAATCGTAGTAACCATCCTCCAATTCATTGCCGAGTATCATATCTAGGGGGAGAGGAAGATAATGAGAAAAGATGGAGTGAAAAAAGGCGGTTATGTATGGAACTTTCTTGTGTTTATATGATTTCACTAGTTATTTTGTGAAAAATCCCAGTAATAAATATTAAAAATGTGAGATTTTGTATTTGTGTAGGTATGTTTGTTACGCTAAAACGACTTGACGTATTTGAATAAAATTTTGCACCTTTATGAAGATATAAGATATCTTTATATTTTTCAAAAATAAAATCATCGCATTAACAAGATAGATAAAATATTACAACAACGTGGATATAAAACATGAGATGGTTCAAAAATGATTTACTGGATATAATTTGAAGAAAGTCAAGAAGTTAAAATCAACTACATGAATTAAAAAGTTTAATAAAATAATCTTTAGAAAAGCTTTATTTCGAAAATATTTTTAAAGCGGGTTGCCAGTGTTTTATATTGCTCTGGTTTGAAAATATTTTGATGACGGTTGCCGCTTGTTTAGAAATTTAAAGTAAATTTTTAAAACAAGTTTAATGAAATATTTTAATTTGGATGTCAAACGGCAGAGGTTGAAAGCAGTATTTAAAAGTTAAAATCGATTTAATAATAAATAAGTTTATTGAAACCTCTTCATATACATTCACATGTATGTGCGTGTCAATGGAAAAGAGTTTAAGAATGCTTTGTTCCTTTTTTGTAATGTTTGATGAGGGTTGCCACCTGTTTAGATTCAACATTAGATTTAATAACAGGTTAGATGAAACATTTTATTATGGCTGTCAAATAAGGAGGTTTAACAATTAATTTAATTTAATTATAAAATATTTTTGATGAGGGTTGCCAATAAGTTAAAACCAATTTAACTAGTAAGTTAATTGAAACATGTTATATACATACATTTCAAACGAAAAGCGTATGTAAATGCTTAGTTTCTTTGTTAGTTTTAGAAAAAGGTTGCCACCTGTTTAGAAATTCAGAATAAATTTAATTAACAAACTAAATAAATTATTTTAATATGCGTGTCAAAGGAGAGAGGTTTAGGATTCAATTTCAAAATATTTTTGACAAACGTTGCCACCTGTTTGAAATGTTAAATTCAATGTAATTAAGAAGTTCATTCCAACCTTTTAATATGCAACTGTGTTAATTGTGTGTTATGTATATGTTTATTTTTTTTAATATTATTGAAGAGGCTGCCACCTATTCAGAAATGCATACATAGTTTAAAAGTTCCAGTTCAATTAAGAGAGGGGTTAAATGAAAAATAACAATACAGGTGTTAAACGAGGGAAGTTAAATAAAGCTTTTATCGAAAATATTTTAGTCGAGGTTGCCATCTGCTTTATCCAAGAATTTATTTTATAGCGCATTCAATTTTAGTTTAATAAAATGCAAGTCGGAAGAGCCACAAAATTAACTCTTACTGGAGTCACGTATGCCTGTTCTAAATTGTTAAAGGTTTGGCAATTCCACAATAATCGATTTTTTCGCAAACAAATAAAACCACAAAAGTTTATGTGGCTAAATTTCTTTTATTTGCTTTTGAAAATGCACCTTAATTTTACCCCACAATATTAAATAACCAATAATTCCCAAAATGACCAAAAATTTAGTCTGCATACTCAAATAAAAAAAAAAAATGCCAAAGGGTATTATTTGCAAATCGTTAAATTGCCATAAAAGGTAGACGTAGTAGGCCTAAATGCAAGTAGGTGGAAGAACGGTGTTTAAAGAGGAAAAAAATGTACTTCTTATTGATATACAATTATGAACTTTGGGCTAAGTAGCAGCACAACGGTAATACGCCAGCAAGTTGCCAAGCTTTATTTGCTGTCGTTTTGTTTTTTGTCTGTGGCGCAAATTGAAGTATTTTTTGTTGTTAAGCAAAACTCAACTGTTGAGGGTGAGTCTATATAAATGGTCCGTTTTTTGGTGCTTAGGTTTGCGAAAATAACTGATTTTGTTTGCAATATTGAGCTGAAAGGTGTTTGCTTAAGTAAGTAAGTAAGTAAGTAAGTAAGTAAATATGTCGTTTCCTTTAGTTGCTCAACCTCAAGTGGCCGATCATTTGTGGAGTAACTAATCCCATTGGCATGAAAATATATAAGAAATACAAACCAAAAAAAAACTCTGCTAACAAAGAGTACTACTAATAGTTATGTATATATGTAGTGTTTGCAAATAGTTGGTAAAGTACGGCAAGTACGGGCAAGTAAATAATCTTAATCTGCTCACCTTTTCGTTTGCCGGGATTTTCTGTTTCCTCGCTTTCGCCACCTTCGGACGCTTTCGACTGATGATAGAGTTCTGAGCTCTTGATGCGTTTCTTGCCGCCACCTAAATATGCGCGCGTTAAATAAAAAGTGAAGTTAGATGAGGAAAGAGAAGGAGAGAAAAAAACGGGGTTTAGTGAAAAATGGCAAAATAAATTGTACTTTCGGCTGAGTAAGAAATGCTTTCAAAGCGTAAATTATGCATTGCACAGTGGGCGTAGTATTTTTGGTTTTGGTGTTAGTATATATTTACAAGTTTTACATATATATTTTTTTTACTTTATTTTAAATGACAGTCCTATTTTAAAGTAACGTCCTTTAGATTTTTAAAATTTCTAGCTTGTTTTTTTTTGGAATATATTGTGTCCTTTATTTTACGGTTTGTCCTGTTTTTGATACGTAAAACTAACTCTGGTACATTAGGGTGCCTCAACAAAAAAATATGCATTTTTTCGCCGGAATTATGAAATTTATTATATTTTAAGCCTTTTGTCAAAATATTTCGGAAACAATTAAGATTTACGTGAGCTCAAACTTCTCTCCATAAAAATAAAATATTCCAGCTCACGTAATTCTTTATTTTATTCCTAAATATTTTTGCGGAAGTCTTCGAATAAAGTAAGTTTTAGAACATTTATAAAAAAACAGTAGCGACTTTTCTATGGAGGGTGAAGCATCCTAATGTACATAAATTAATGAATTTAAATTTTTTCTACGCCCAATTCATTTCAGCATAGAAATAGAAGCAAACAAATGGTGCAAAACAGTGTTGGAAAAGAAGGTACAATTGTACCTTCCTTTCAGAATTTTTAATTTTTGCCCTAGCCATAAAACTTATCAGGAAATTCATTCTTATTTTCATAGACATTTCAACAATATTTCTAGTGTAGGTAACTTGTCCATTGGCCTACCTCATTTTTGAAGGTGCATAAATATGGTTTGATTTGAACCGCTCGGAGAGATTACTCCCAGGCCATACTTAATGGTGAATTTAGCTGGATGTGTGTTCAAAAGTATATATCATATTACAGGGGGAGGCCCTCCACCTACTATCAAAAATGTATGCACATAAAACACGTAAATAATTTTTAAGGTACATTTTTTCTGCAAATAAATAGTTACGATTTCAAAATTTAATTACCCATCCCTGGTGCGCAAAATATTTATATGACTTTAACGTGTAACTGGATGCTGTCAAATCAGCGACGAGAGGTTTGGTGGTCGCGGAAAGAGCCATCTTTATTTTCTGCGTAAGCAATGCTATTATATACCTTGTTTTCTGTCAAACCCTTTGAATTGAACGCTCAAGTTCAAGGGTTTAGGGGTGTGCATAGCTTAGCGGTTAATATTGCTGATTTGCACGTCGATGACGCAGGTCCGATTCCAGCTAAAGTCAAGAGGAAGAAGTCTGAGGAAGTCTGATGTCCTCCGCAAATGAGAAATTAGGAACGTACCCTAATCCTCTAGGTTTGATCATTACTACGCCGGGAAAATTTTCTTTTTATCAAACTATGATCATACTCCTAAAACTTTTATTTGGTTCAGAACATCTATATAATATCTTCATCTTCATCTTCATCTTCATCTTCATCTTCATCTTCATCT